TGGAGAATAGACTTAGCCTATGATCATAGTTATTGGATATCTTTCATGTTATTGATGCATGTAAAGGACTTTGATAATATATTGTGCATTATTTAAGTTTCCATTTATGTAGTCTGTGGATATTTATGTATTTTGATACAATTATGATGAAAGGGTTTGTATGCCTATTGGATAGACTGAGATAATGTCAGTATTTATTGAAATATTTATCATGTTGAGATATCATGTGGAAATTATACCTAAATGTTTAAAAAACAAACGAGCTCTGTCCGTTTTGTTTGGGCGATGTTTAAGCGAAATTAGTTGTTTCTGCAATTTGTATGAGTTATAGATACAATTTGAATTGTTTATAAATATAAAAAGTGTTTTAATTAGAAGACCATGTTTTCAAAAGAGAAAAATTTATCCATGTTTTAATCAACTGCTATGATTATAACTGCGCCTAATATCATACGTGATATTAATAAACCATTTCTAGAAGACGGCGTTATACACCTCACTCAAATAACACTGAAAACACATGTTTTCTCTCTTAGGTTGTGGGGTGCTTAAAACCATTTTGCAAGCAGCCTATTTATAGATATAGGGTGCTGCAAGTTTTTGAACACTCATAGATGCTTTCCGTAATGCACATTAATACATGTGAGAATTTGAAGCCACCAAATCAACAACATGATTTGATTTTCAGCCACCAAAAGTGGCATTTAAACATGACATGACTTACCTGGAAAGCACGGACTTGTTGATTTTTTAAAATTGTGCGTATCGGACACGTGTTGGATACGAATATGCTCCGACATGCGTCTGACACACAGTTAATATTTTGAGACACGTGATCAACTCTCGGACACGCTCTGATATATTTTTTCGACATGTGATCAATGCTTGGACACATTTTTTTTTTTAGTCTTAATTTTATTTTATTAACTAAACAAAATCATTTATAAATCATTTTTTTTCTGTTATAAAATTTGACATGAAAAATTAACAAAGTACGAAAAATTATTTTTGTTTATATTTATGTTATGAAATTTGAATATTTGATTGGTTATATGACTTATTATGGACTGTTATATCTATTAAATATAAATTATATTATATATATTAAAAATATTATTTAATATCAAAACATGTCCCAACGTGTCGAAATATGCCATTTTTTAGAATTAACGTGTCGGCGTGTCGTGTCGTGTCCCGTGTTCCGTGTCAGTGTCCGTGCATCATAGATGACTTACATCAAATATATGAAAAAATAAATAAAATTTTTATCGTTTTTAAGTGAATTCCAATTAAGAGTTGAATATGGTTGGATGCATATACGAGACTTAGTTCTTCCTTCCAATACCATTTTTTTTATTCCCATTACTTGAATTTCGAAGTTCTAATTATGGGAATAAGTTTTTTATTACTTTCAATTATTATTGATCTTAAAAATTATCTCAGACATGGTTTCATTCATATATTGTTATATAAATTATAATGTATTTAAGTAGGATTAATGTACCGTATTTGTGTCTTTAATTAATTAATTCTCCTTTTTAAATGTTTTATTTTTCCAAAAAAATAAGCTTATTTGAATTTATAATTATAATTATAATTTCATTCAAATAATAAAACATATTTTATAAAAATTTAATTTAAAATCAACGCAAAATTAATACATCATTAAACAAAAACATAAATATTTAATTTTTCATTTCAATTAATTTTGTTAATGTATATTAATTATCATAAACACAATACTAATTATTATTAAAACTACTTTTTATTTTATTCCATGCATCCACGAGTATTTCGAGTATTTTAGTTTAGGGAAATCTACTTTTCATTTTATTGTGGAAGAAATTTTATCCAGCAATCAATTATAACTATGTAGTACAGGTAATACATAGTTGTAATTTTAAAAGTTATTTTTTTCTTAGAAGATTGTCGGCTGATGTGGCAAAGAGAAAAAAAATAATTTTAATATTATATTTGTAATACATAATTGTAATTGATTGTTGTACAAATTTTTTTTTGCAAAGACAGAAATTGCGGACCAACAGTTTATGTACTTAAGTCACAAAATTGTGAAGTACGAATTATTCATAAAAATGGAATGTTGAGTGTCCTATTTTTTGTTTGTGCATGATTTTGTTGACACGATATGTAAGTGTAATCTCAGCCTTGTCCACAGGACTACAACCTTAACAGAGATATGGGTCCTCTCTGTAACCAATCACTTAATGGTAATCAAGATTCATTGAAACTAGGAGATTGACAGGTCAATTTATTGCAAGCTGGTGCCCTATGGTTATATATTATTATAGAAAAAAATATTTATCATTTTAAATTACATAATTTTGTGTCAATTTTTAATGAAATACGTTATTTTTGTGTATTTTTACATTATCTCTCTTTCACTTTCTTTTTCTAAATATAAAAAAATACCAAAAAACACACAAAAATAACATAATTTCATTATTATATTATAGAGAAAATGATTTATGTCTTTAAAACAGAAAATATTTCTTTCCCACTGAAAGAAAATTAGAAGAGAGAGAGAGAAAAACCATTAAAAATAATGAACCCAACTCTCTCTTTCTTATTTTTTGCCTCAAGACATAAATTATTTTTTATATTATATTATATGACTCGTTTCTTTTGTAGAGTCATAATCCCCCTATATAGACACAGTTTATATTTGATTAGATGTAAATGTAAAAAAAAATTATGGTAATAATAAGTTAAAATTAAATCGCAATATGTTTGGAATCATTAAAAATGAAAAATAACTTGATTGATTTGATTTAAAAAAATTTACTATATTTAAAAATCTTTGCGTGTTGCAAACGTTCGTGGAATATCTTATTGGCATGAAGGGGTTGTCATTCCAATCGTTCTCACCAATTGAAAAAAGAAGATCATCCAAAAGCGACATCATATTTCATCCTACTATTATGTTTGGGATTTATTACTCTTATGTTGCATAAAATATAATCTATCTCCTGCACACACAAACTCAAAATGGGTCCCACTTTACTTTTTCTCTCTCTTCCCCTAAAAATGGACCCCACCTGCACCAATGAGTGTGTAGAAGATAATAGATATCTTCTACAACATAAGAAAACTATTACCCATTATGTTTTTATCTTAATAAAGTTGAAACTGAGTCATAGCTATAATTTCTAACAATAGATGATTTTCAATATATCAAACTTGCTATGAATGGATGAATTTTTAGGACTCGGGTTCCTCTTAATGTGGATAAGTGGCATATGTCAGTTTTTTTCTTTTATCTTTCCTAAAAATCAAAATTCATATTATTGCCCCAGTTAGTTAAAATTACTTTTCAGCCAAACTCACCATTTTTGGAATGGTAGATGATTGATTTTTATTAGGCTGAAAGTTTAGGTGTTTGAAGATTGGGAAATATTACTCTTAGGGGGTGTTTGGTACAAGAGAAATTTTTATTTGTCCGGGAATCTCGATTTTCAAAAATATGATTTTTGCATTCAGTTTACGATAATATCTGAAAATTTAAAATTTAGAAAAATTCAGTTTCCTGGGAATCCCTCAAAATTCCGCGTACCAAACGCCCCCTAAGACTTTTACCATTTTTGGAGTGCAGTAGAAAATAATTGATTTCTCTTGTTCACTCAAAAAGTCACGGGATCCATTTCAATTTTTATCTCTTTTTCTATGTAATGCGATCTACCATATTTATGTTTATATAGCATAAGATAAAATATCTCAACAGCTAGAGAATAATATAATAAGATTTTTGTCGTCTCAAAAATTTAATTTTGGACTATATATCTTTTGGGCCGAGAATCAATTGAGAAGCTCTATACGATATTGTTAGCCTTTCGTTTTATTGTCCAATGAAAGAAACCCAATCTTCTACCCTTTCCCATGAGTCCATGACTCGAAGGCTTCGATCTAATCAAATGATTAGTTAGTTGAACAACAACGAGAGTATATGTTACCCAAACCAAGTAATTATAATGAATGAGGCAGTAATCATCTCATATATGATTGCTATTTCTAATTGTAAAATGCACATACCAGTAATATTTTCTTACTGTCAAGTTTTTAATCATAACTCTTAGCCAGCCAAAAATATAATAAATATAAAGGAGGAATTCATATAACTTTGATCATTAAGAAGAGCATATAATAAATTATGTGAGGTGGGTTTTATTTTTATTTTTTTCATTTTTAGTAAATGAAGTACAGAATATTCAATACTATTAGATTATTAAAAATATTTTCCCTTATTACCTCTACGTACAATGAATTTATTCTCCTCAAAGGATGACCAATCTTTTATATATATATATATATATATATATATATATATATATATATATATATATATATATAATTATTTCTGCAGCCGCTTTACGTACAACTCCGACAGGTGTATGGTTATGATTCCTCACATTTAATGCTTTCATCCTTTATATGGTTATGATTCCCCGCATTTAATGCTTTTAAATATATATATATATATGGCAAGTATTTGATTGCTGCACGTACAGCAGCTGCAGAAATGTAAACCCCATATATATGTATATATATATATATATATAGAGGCAGGATCCTTTGACACCAGTGTCAAAATTCAAATTTGACACCTCACTTAAGAGTCATTAAATCAAAAAAGATCAACGGTGTCACATGCTTGCAAATCATAGACGTTGATCTTTTTTGATCTAATGACTCTCAGGTGAGGTGTCAAATTTGAATTTTGACACTGGTGTCAAAGGATCCTACCTCATATATATATATATATATATATATATATATATATATATATATGGCAGGATATTCTTACACCGGTGTAAGAGTTAGAAGTCTTACACTCAATCTTGACCATTGATCCACTTGTATCCAATGGCTTACATTACTAAAAAAATTGAGCCTTTAAATATAAATGAGATAAATCCGCGTGGCAACATATGAACTACAAGTGAATACAGTTGCCCAAAAAACGCTCTGCTAGGGTTTTCCTTTTCATGGAGGAAAATATAGCTACTGAAGGCCAAACTTCAAAAGAAGAAGAAGATCTACTACGTAGGAGTAATAAGAGAAATAAAGATGGAGATATGGTGTTTACTGAACCACAGTCTAGGGTTCCTAGACATGAATCTTGGATGGTTGACGACGGTAATAAAAAGATGACTTGGCGAGAGATGCTCATGCAACACAATGGTGAAACAGATGACTGGGAAGGAATGGATTGGAATTTGGAAGAAAATGTTGATCAAAGTGCACCTGCAGAGGAAGAGGATGTGAATTATGGTGGGATTAAAATGTGGACAGAGGAAGATGGTAGAACTCATTTTGGTTGTACTAGAAAAGCAAGAACAAGAATGTTGAAGGTTTGGGAAAAAGCTCTCATTGTAAAACTACTTGGAAGGAATACAAGAGTGGCTTTCATGAAAAAGAAGATTGAAATACTATGGGCTAGAGCTGGAAAGACTAACGTTACAGATGTAGGTAATGGATTCTATGTGGTGCAATTTAGCAACAAAGATGATCTTCTTTTTGCTCTAAATGGTGGTCCTTGGATTATTTTAGGCCATTATTTATCACTCCGACGTTGGGAGCCAGCTTTTAGACCAAATGCTGCAAGTGTGATGAAGATTGCAGCTTGGGTGCGATTACCAGGTATCCCACTGGAGTATTATGATGAAGCCTTTTTCCGCCGTATTGGTAACTGGCTAGGTAAAATGTTGAAGATCGATAAGACAACTAATGAGCATGTAAGAGGACAGTTTGCTCGAATTTGCGTGGAACTGGATCTTGCTCAGCCTTTGAAGGGTGAATATGTGTTGGACGGAGCAACTAAACAGATAGAATATGAAGGTTTAGGCCTTATTTGTTTCCATTGTGGGCGCTATGGACATAGTAAAGATTGTTGTCCTGAGATACCAGTTGAAGGAAAGGATAATCAGCAAAATCAAGACGGGAAAAAAGATGAGGCTGAGTTTCAGAAAAATGGATTAGGTCCTTGGATGGTGGTGCAACGTCAACGTCGATCAAAAATTCAAACTCCAATGGCGGACAACAGGAAGCAGGAACCGGTTCGAAGGGAATCAAGGTGTAATCAAGGGAGTAATCAAGGGAATAATCAAGGGAGTAATCAAGGGAGTAATCAAGGGAATAATCAATGGAGTAATCAAGGGAGTAATCAACCGCAATCAAATCAGCCGGTTATGATTGATAATCAATCAAATTCCCGTTACGCTGCTTTAATGGGCTCTAATGAAGATGATATTACTCATGATATCCCAGCGACTAATCCGGATGCTGTTATAAATGACGTCAATATGGTGGGCCCTCCTGTTAATATTAATATTAGTACATCTCAAGGGTCCAAACACAGAAACCCTAGAAGCCGTCCTAATGTTGAATTACAGGAACACCCCAACCGATTTACGTTAAGTGGGATTACGACAGGTCATGAAAAAGAAAATCAAATAAATGGGAAGATAGTTGACAGAGGTACCTCAAACAATAATACAACGAACTTGAGGAGGCAAGTTGCGATTCATAATAGTAAGGACATTGGAGGTAAAAGCGGTGGAGATTCCATGGTGGCTAGGAGTACTGTTGCTGATTATAACAAAGATTGTTATCAAATGGAGGTGGATAAGGATGGTCAAAATATCAACGGCTTAGATCATGGCTTGTCCCAACCAAAAGCGCCTGATCCAAGTAGAGATAAAGGAAAGCATATCCCAATAAACCATAAGCTCAATATTAAGGTGGAGATGATTTCAGAATCTGAAACTCAGTGCAATGACAATGGGATGGCAGTGGACCCACAATCCTGCCAAATTACCATTGATTAATGTCTTTAGTTACATGGAATTGCCGTGGGGAGGCTAAAAAGTGCTTCAAATCAACGTTTCAAATGATGGTTTGAAGGCATAAGATTGAGGTGGCAGCTATTCTTGAACCTCGAGTAAGTGGTTCAAAAGCAAAACAGATAATAAAAAAGCTGGGTTTTAATAATTCAATAGTGGAGGATGCTCATGGATTTACGGGAGGTCTTTGGTTATTATGAAATAATGATAGGTGTCAGGTTCAAGCATTAAAACAGACCCATCAATTTATTCATGTTTGTGTTACATTGGCAGATCATCAAGCTTTTCTTTATACTGTTATCTATGCAAGTCCTAGAGAAGAAATTCGGAAGAGACTTTGGGATGATTTACTTCAGTTATCAGAAGATATCTCGGTTCCTTGGTTAATTGCAGGTGATTTTAATGAAATTTCCTTTCCAAGTGAGAAACGTGGTGGTGCTCCAGTTGATACTAGCAGATGTAATAAATTTGCTTCTCTTCTAACTGATATAAAGATGATTGATCTTGAAGGAATAGGTTCTAAATTTACATGGCGAGGACCAAGATTTCTTCATTTAGATAGAGTCTTTAAACGTTTAGATCGAGCTTGTAGCAATGCTGAATGGAGGTTGATGTTTCATGAAGGCCAGGTTCGAGTGCTTCCTCGTATTAACAGTGACCATAATCCTATCCTTATTACCTTAGAGCCAAGCAAAGTTGATGGGGTGGAACGCCCTTTCCGTTTTCATTCTTTTTGGTTGGATCATCAATTTTTTAACAATTTCATCAAGGAAAACTGGCGTCAGGATCAAAGAACAGTTGATAGTCTTCGTGATTTCACTCCTCTTATTAAGCAATGGAATAAAGATGTGTTTGGTAATATCCATCATAAGAAGAACAGGTTGATTGGTAGGCTTGAAGGTATCCAGAGGGCAATTTCTGAGCAGAATAAAAGCCATTTGGAAAAGATTGAAGGCAAGATAAAGGGTGAACTTGAACAAGTTTTAGAACAGGAGGAACTTTTGTGGTTTGAAAAGTCTCGTGCTACTTGGATAGCTCAAGGAGATAGGAATACAAAGTACTATCATACGAAAACAATTGTTAGACGTAGAAGGAGCAAGATCTTGGAGTTGAAAGATGATGCTGGAAACTTGATTAGAGAAGATCACAACATTGCACGGGTAATAAATGCTTACTTCTCTAAACTATTTTCTAAAGAAAACCATGATCGTCCTTGGGTCCAGACTCTTTGGCCAAAGGTGGACGATGAGACTGCTGTTAACTTAGGTGCTCCAATTTCAAAAGATGAAGTCAGACGAGCTTTCTTTTCTATGAAAGATTCGAAAGCTCCAGGGGAGGATGGCTATACCGCGGCATTCTACAAAAAGAATTGGGAATTTATTGGTGAACAGATTTGGAGAGATATCAAGTATTATGCAGAAAACCCTTCCAGCATTGAGGAAGTCAACGGTACTCTGATCACTTTGATCCCCAAAGTTCCTAAGCCAATGTATGTTTCTCAATTCAGGCCTATTTCTTTGTGTAATGTCATTTATAAGGGTATGAGCAAGATCATTGTGGATAGGCTTAAGCTTACAATGGAGAATTTAGTTTCTCCTTACCAAGCTAGCTTCGTGCCAAATCGTCAGCTTCAGGATAATATTATAGTAGCAAAGGAGCTGGTTCATTCTATGGGGAGAGTAAAAGGAAAGAAAGGTACAATGGCAATCAAACTGGACCTTTAAAAAGCTTATGATAAACTCAGTTGGAGTTTTATCTATAAAGTGCTTATTGAAGTTCAGTTTCCTGATTGGATGATTGGTGTTATAATGGCTTCTATAATTGCGGAAGCAGTTGCTGTTAGTGCAAATAAATCTTTGATTTATTTTTCCCCGTCGAGTTACGCACTTCTAGTATTGGCAGATATTTAGGCTCTATTGTTAAACAAGGGAGATATATTAAAGCAGACTATGGAGTTATCAAGGATAGGATACGTTCAAAACTGGATGGTTGGAAAAGCCATTGCCTTTCTTTTGCTGGTCGAGTTACTTTGGTGAAATCGGTCATTGCTGCAATCCCTTCTTTCCATATGCAGAATGGCAGTAACGTTTTGTGATGAAATTGAGCAGATACAAAGGGCTTTCATTTGGGGAGATCAGGATAGCAGAGGCGGGCTCATTTAGTAGCTTGGGATCAAATGTATAAACCCAAAGATAGAGGTGGTTTGGGAATAATTAATCTTCGACTCCAAAATGAAGCTTATATTCATAAACTGACATGGAAGGTGTTAACTAAGAAAGATGATTTATGGGTTAAGATTTTAGTAGGCAAGTATGGTAGAGGTCAAGACTTAAGAAGAGGTATAAAGGCAAAATCATAAGACTCTAAACTTTGGCGTGATCTTGCTAAATGTTGGAGTAATTTCCTTGTTGATCTTAGATGGGAAATAGCAAATGGTTCTGAAGTAAAGCTTTGGACTGATAACTGGTTAGGATGGGAGGAAAATTTGCAGCAGTTGTCGAGCAATCAGGTGTCGTGGAAGGAGAGTCAGAAATCAATTGCAGATTACATGGTGGATGATGGTTTCCGTCTTGAAGCTGTTCATCAATTTCTGGAGTCAGATTTGGCTGATGCAGTAACAAATCATCTCAGGCTTATTCCAAGGAATCGGGGAGGATAGATTAGTTTGGATCAATAATCATCACTCGACTTCTTTGGTTAAGGTCGCTTATTGTAATCCTTATGAACCTCCCAGCAGATGTTCACACTAGCTTATGGAAAAAAGTTTGGTCGTGGAATGGACCAGAACGAGTGAAAGTGTTTATGTGGATGACTTTGCTTGCTAAACTTTCAGTGCGCAGCAGAACCAGTAAGTGGAGCGGAGGTTCAAATGCTGTCCAGTTGTCCAAATCATGAGGAAACTATTATTCATGTTCTTCGTGATTGTAGACATGCTAGGAAGATTTGGCAATCTTGGTTTACAGGTTCAGCAATACGTAACTGATCCAGACCAGCAAAAGAAG